GGGGTATCTGCTTACGGCGATAATACAGCGAGGTCACAAGTTATCAAAGGAAAGCATTTTCATTGTAGCAATGCGTTTTTTCTTAATGAGATCAACACCCCAGTCGGCCGCGTCCTTGACTCGAGCATATTAAGGATCTATGACATCTTTCCATTTGTATTTTCAATAACACAATACGTGGTTACGCGCGGTGCAAAAAAGGGTGACCAAAAGATTTACTTTAAAAGTTACGTTCTTAATTTCTTATTTAAAATTTTCTCTTTCATTTTAAACAATATCTCAGTATTACTATGTAATACTTAATTTTTCAAAGTATTAAAATTAAAAAATGCATTTTTGTTATCGATTTATTGTGTACGTCGTACGAATTAAGTATTAAGTTTTAAGGAAGACTATCGTCAGTCAATATCAGTCGAGAGCTTGTTCAGTTCTCTTACTCATAAATTAATATAACTATCTGCATGATTCAATAAATATATTGACGCATAAAAAAGAATGTAAAACAGGCAGTATTGCAGACTAATTATTTATAGACTTGTTACTATCGATTATGTGAACAAACGTATAGTTAAGTATGATTTCACTATTCATACGAACGATTTGAGAGACATGACTTCACTCACCTACACAGCAGGCCCACACATCGCGTTTGTGCTTGCTACTTCTGTTATATCCACGCACACCTACACTACACTTGCACTTTAACCGGACACTTTTTAAATATATCTTAATAAATGTAATTAACACACATATCTAGTATACACTCCTAAACACTATGCAATAGATTTAAGACATAGAATGATAATCTGTTAGTGCAGCAGCTCTTGATGTGCCCTCCGCGACGCGCCTGGCGGTTCACAGCGCCGCCGCCGGGGCTCGGGACACGGGGCTCGGGAGCGGCAGAGGGATGTGCTGGGGTGACACACATTTTGGTTGAATCGAAGACTTGTTATCGTCATGAAAAATATTAATATAACTAATTAATTGTTTCTGAAATCAGTTTCTTTTGTTCAATTAATAAGTGTAAAGTAATTTTTGAATGTTGACAATTTTATTTAGCTTGCAAAGATCTCTTTGCCATGCCACTCGTATTGGTAAGCCCTTATTATTAAACTACATATGTATTCTGTAATAATTGATGAGCTTGGATATTACTTTACTTTCACTTTGTAAGTCAGATAAAATTATCGAGAAATAAAAAGAAGAATATCCACGATTGAGCAAATAAGTGGTCAGTGTTCAGACGACGCAACTCGTGTCCGGGCGGGGAGGCTGCACGCGCAGGCGCGCTGCCGGCCCTCATCCCGCAGCCAGCAGACGGGAGGGTTGAGTACGAGGCTCACAGCGCACATCGTACACTAGCCGCATCTCAATAAATCACCCATATTCTATGTATGAACTCTGTGTACCTAAAACTTGTAATAGAAATTGATGTGACGGCTGTATGGGGCGGCGGAGCTGATGTGTGGGAGTGAGGGGGAGAGACATCTCTGATCCGCTCGAGGTCAAGTAACACCAGCGTGTCAAGGTCCCGTCGAACTGGGCTATTACGCCGAAGCCAGCAAAAGCAATGGTTGTCGCGAATTTTGGAAGGCATCGAGTATGGAAATATTCGATTTTGATTTGACTTTTCTAGCAGGTTATCGTGAAGTATTGTGACTATCATTATTTAGCAAAATTTGAATTAAATTCGAGTATAAACTGACTACTATTAAGGTTACTCAGAGCCGTGTCACTGTAGGAACATTCATCAGACAGGTGGACGATGATGACCTGAAATATCATATACTTAGTTTTATTTACGCAGCGAAAATATATCCAATTAAACATATTATTGATATCTGTAATAAAGTTTTTCTTCGTCATATAAGATATGCAGTAAGTGCGCGTGCATAATGATAAGAGTTATACGTCCATGCATACAATACAATCGTCTCGGCGAGTACGAGTAGCCACCGACATGTCAGTAACCATTAAATTTATATCGCTGTGACCATAAAGCAGTGGATAACGGAAGTAGACGATTGCCTTCTGTTTTATTCACACATTTTGTCATATACATGAAGGGAAGGCTTTGTAAAAAGTTATTTAGTTAGTAGACAAAGGATAATATACTTAAACAATACTAATATTATAAATGCGAAATTTTAGACGGATGGATGGATAGATGGATGTTTGTTAGAGTCGCGGGCGAAAGTTAGTAATCAATATTCTTTGAAAGACATACTAATTGCGAGGCGATATCGTTCAACGGCCGCGCCGGCGCACAGTGCCCTGCCCTGCTGACCTGTGGCAAAACTTGTGTTTCTGATAATCTTTATTGCATTATTTTGAAATAAGAATGTTAACCTTTAGTAATATTCAAAAAACTAGGCCGAGAAAAAACGCCAAGTACTCATTATAGTCAAATTAACGGCTTATTAAATTAGTTATGATATAATTAGAACCTAACACACCTATGTTCTATTTTTTAAAACCATAATAAAATAAACAAAAGCACTTTAATAGACACTGCGGGACATACTCAAACATTACTTTGAATGAGCTCGTATTCATGATGTGAAATAGTAGTTCATTACCTTTTATAACGTAACAAAATTCGGTAAGGCACCAATTTTGATTAAAATAGGATTGTCCCGGTGCGTGTCTGCAATGTGGTGACTGTAGCCGCACGATGCGCTATATAGGAAACTGACGCCGCAATTTATGCTCATTTTAATAAACGTTACCGCAAAACAAAGAGATAGCATAAAATACGATGTATCACGTTACTGTTGTTCTCTTAGCTTTCACTTTATTTCTGTTGTATTATTTGACAACGAGAAAATTCAACTATTGGAAAATAAGAGGAGTCCCGTATGAGAGTCCTCTGCCGCTGTTTGGTAACTACCTGCAGTACATCTGCATGAGGCGACCCTCATTTCTGGTCGCTCAGCAGCTGTGCGAGCGCTACCCCGAGGCGCCGCTCGTGGGCGCCTTCTACGGCACCCAGCCCGCTCTACTGCTACAGGACCCCGACCTTGTCAAGCTCGTTACCACCAAGGACTTCTACTACTTCAATAGCAGGGAGGTCGCCGACTACACGCCCCGCGAGGCGGTCACGCAAAACCTTTTCTTCACTTACGGTGACCGATGGAAAGTGATACGTCAAAATTTGACGCCTCTGTTCACTTCCGCTAAAATGAAAAACATGTTTTATTTAATAGAGAAATGTACGCACCAATTAGAAGTTCTGATAGAGTCTGAGTTGTCGGGGGCGAGGGCGGGGGCGAGGGCGGGGGCGAGCGAGGGGGCCGAGCTGGACATGCGGCAGCTGATGGCGCGCTTCACGATGGACTGCATCGGCTCCTGTGCTTTCGGCATTGAGACTAACACACTGGTCAAGAGCGAAGAGCCCAATCCTTACAGGGTCATGGGGGACAAAATTTTCGAAAACTCTTTCGACCGGGGCTTCCGACTGGCATGCCGCGCGATGTGGCCCGCCGTGTTCTACGCTCTGCGTTTCCGCGTCTTTCCTGAGGAGATAATACGTTTCTTCAAGACGATGCTAGTAAAAGTGTTCGAGCTGCGCGGCTACAAGCCCGCGAAAAGAAACGATTTCGTCGATCTCCTGCTCGATCTGAGACAAAACCGATACTTGGTCGGCGAGGGCATCACTACTTACAAAAACGGGGAAGGACGACAGGTACGGCTCGAGCTGGATGATGAGACGATGAGCGCGCAGTGTGTGGTGTTCTTCGCGGCCGGGTACGAGACCTCGGCGACGACACTAGCTTACACGCTACACCAGCTGGCACTGCACCCCGCCGTGCAAGACAGGGTGATCGCGGAGGTAGAGGAGTTCCTCCGGCGGCACGACGGCCGCATCACCTACGAGTGCGTGAACGAGCTGCCGTACACGACGGCGTGCGTACAGGAGACGCTTCGCCTTTTCCCCGTACTAGGAATCGTCACGCGCGAGCTGTTCGAGGACCACGCACTGCCCAACGGCCTGCAGCTCGAGCGGGGCTTGCGCGTGCACATCCCCGTCTACCGTTTGCATCGCAATCCTAAATATTTCCCGGAACCTGACAAATTTGATCCGGAACGTTTTCTCGGCGAACGAAAAAAAACGGTGCAGCCTTACACCTACATGCCCTTCGGAGAGGGACCTAGGTTATGTATAGGTAAGTAGATAGAAAGTATTATCTTATATATTATTTAAGCTACTAGATTGCCAAACGTATTAAGGTTAATGAACTTTTCGGTATAGCTCCCCCGCACGACATGCATGTTGCAGGGATGCGGTTTGCCTGGATGCAGATGCTGGCGGGACTGGCGGCGGTGTTCCGGCGGCACGGGGTGGCGGAGGGGCGCGACACGCCGCACCCCGCCGACTATCACTACGACCCTACCTCCATTGTCACCATCCCCACGCACCCCATCAAACTCAAGCTGGTGCGCCGCGACCTTACGCTCTCATCGTAATGCCCTTTGTAAGTGCACGGTGCACCAGGGGCTGACATTTTCTTATTTAAATACTATTTCTAGCAATATGCACGGAAGTCGCAGGCAAAAGCTAGTTAAAAAAATCTTGAAGAAAACAAACTGTGTCTGCCTATTTACATCTTAATACTCAATGCAATAAACAGCATTGTATGTTTAATACATTTTACTCCCGCTTTACATCCTCGGAAAAACAAGCTATTGTTTGGCTTCGAATTTGACCGTTTAAATGTTTTTAAAGCTGACCTTATCCGCATATATGACGGTTTTGCATTATATTATAAAGTATTCAGATTTCAATAGTAGCACGATTATAAGTAACTAAATGTTGCTCGCGACTTTGCGTGATTTAAAAATACAATAAAAGACATAGCCTATGTTACACACAGATAAACTACCTTTCTAATTGTGATGGCATTTTCAAAATGGGCCCAGTAGTTGAATAGTACTTGAATCAAATACATACAAAAATCCAAAAATACAAATGTTTCCTCTTTATAATATTAGTATAGATATATATGTACCGATTTAAAAAATCTTTCGACATTAGAAAGCTACTCACATTATCACTGAGTAACAAAGGCTTGGAAATAATATGCATGGAAACTTTGGCAGCGAGGCGGAGCTGTGGCGGATCCCTATACGAATTAGAGTGGACTCCACGCAATGTAAGACTGGTCAGGAATGGGAGACTACAGTTTGAATTTGTTTTTTTTTTACTTAAAAAAATAAAACTAATATGAACGAACCTTAGGAGATGAAACGATTAACAATGGTTTATGTGCGTATTGTTATTTGCTACTCATATTATATTAGGAGTATGTAATATGCGATTATAGCAACACAAGGGACGCGATGCGACGTCTCCGCTGCACGGTACAAGGTTGGAATTATCTTTTGATGTATGTCTGTATGTACTGAGACTATTAAAAATAACAACACGGCAATAAACTATACCCACATTTAATGACTGCTGTTTACATGAATCATCATTTCTTAAATAACTACTTGTGTGTTATTGTATATAGTCTTGCAAAGAAACCAATTTCATTTGGAATATTTAATTGACTCAATATCCAAAGTAAATACAAGACATATTTACTTGTATTTGTTTACAACTGAATTGCTTTTTTAGAATTTAACGCAAATCGTGTCCTGCGCCAATCGTAGACACACTATGGACTCGTTGTTACGGATAATGTCAACTCGGACAGCAATAAATATCTAATGCTAAGTTATAAGGGTCGGTGTCTTCCTGAACCAAAAAGGTCTCAACCGACGTGACCTCTGCGCCCGGCACCCGCGGACTGTGACCTCCGCACCCGGCCTCAACTTTATCCATTAAACTAATAACGTAACTGATAAATCTTTCAAAGAAAAGTTTGCAGCGAAATTGTGTTAGGCGAATCTTTGCTAAAACTTTTAGTAAACGACGCCTAAACTTTGATATCAACTCTGAATAAAACACCTTCTTAATTAACTTAGATAATTTGTCCTACAAAGATTACGGAGGAAATTTCCGCTATGAAAAGCTAAGAAATACACAAATAGATTTGAATAAATACATAGACTGAAATAAAGACATATTTTGGTAGCAGACATCATTCATTTCAGTAATGGATGGAACAAAGTTTTCGCGATTCCCCTGATCATATCAAATAGCAAAACTTTATTAGAAGTTTGATCATTTTCTAAAAGCAGTCTTGTAAGCTGACTCCACAAAACATTAACTTATGGACCAACAAAATTCACGTAGTTAGTATCCTTTCTTAGTAATGAATAATCGATGATGTTTGAAGCTGGAACTCGTGAACCACAATGAAGCGTTTGCACAGAATTGCTATAATTTTCTTAAAGGCTTTTATACTATTGATTATGATTTACTAGCTTTCCGTCCGCGTGTAATTAAAAAACAAAATGAGTATCCTATGTGCTATCCTATGTGCTCTTCTAAGCTATTCTCTACATCTACATAAAATTTAATCGAAATTCGTTCAATTGTTTTGGCTACAAACTCTAACAATCCATCCATCGTAACTTTCGCATTTCCTTTCCTTCAAATAGCTTTATAAAATGTAATTCCCCAAAGTTAACGTATTCATGGTTTGTGCAGGAAAGAAATTTCCCGCGGGCGCCGTAAAATAAATGAAATTTGTGTATAAACTTAATTGGATCAGAAATGATTACGCAGTAGACAAGGTAAAGGCATAGTTATACAATTATTCGACCTTCGGCAATTATCATGAATCACAACCTTTCAGAACAACGATGGAAACGACAAGAGATTAGGAGAGTAAATGCCTTATAGGTTATTTATTGAAGTAAGCTAAGAAAAATATGTACTCTTTGGTTACATGTTACATTGATTTAATGAATAGTTGTGTACTGTAGTCAAAGGAAATAATAAATAGATAACATCAGACAAACCCGCCTTGACCCTGACAAAGCGATATATGACATATTATTTTAAGTGCAGTTTGAAGTCGGCTGTCAGCTCGAGGCCGGGCGTGTCTTGTTGCCGGGGTGTGGGGGGAGGCGCGGAAGTGTCTCGCCGCCGCTACGAGACAGGACCTTACGCCGTCACGTCCGGATCCGGACACCACAATTAATGTGTGCAATTGTTGTCAGTTTGCACAACTTGTATAACATTATGTGTATCCGTTTACCTTGACTTCAACAAATTAGTTGAATATTTTTAGATTTTAATGTTTACTTTAATAAAATTAATACTAAAAAAACGCCTTTTCACAATAATGGCCACACTCACTCGATTAGATTCACAGTCAAGTGAATGGTTTTATAAAAATTAGGTACAAACAAAAAAGACGACTACTGGTCAATTCATTACGAGTACTTATCATCTAAAGTAATTAAGAAAAAACCTAATGTATTTCACGCGTATTCTTAACAAAAAGCGGGAGGAAGTGGATTGTTGTTAGTGAAAGTTCAATTTGTGCGGGCGCGGCCTTGCGGGCGGCGAGGGGGGAGAGGGGGCGAAGGGAGCGCCAGGGCTTCTCACCTCATGACCCTCGATCTGGTTAGTGTTTGACCTTTAAATCTGCCCTCGGGAAATCCTTAAGACAATGATGAACAGTAACGAAACGAAGAAGGTTGTCAACAAACAGTAGACAAATTACGCGTTATAATACTAGTGTAGGTCCACTGAATGCCTTGGCTATAACATAAAAAAAATCATAAATATTATAATTGAAACGTTAGAGAGAGGTATTTGAGAAACCCTGGCCGATTTAAATAGTGATTATGTCGGCATAATTTGCATAGTTGTTAAGCAGACAATACTAGTAACAGACAATGCACCCACTATTGCCGACAACTACTGAGACACGTGTCTGGGAACATGTCACTTGACGTCTACAACAGTGGCGTGTCTAGTTCAAATTAATAAATGATACTTTTGTACGTAGCGTAGGTAGGCCTACCGCAAGATGGACCGATGACCTGATCAAGGTTGCGGGAGTACACTAGACCGGGCATTGTGGTAATCGATGGGGAGGCCTATATTCAGCAGCGGACGACTACAGGCTGGCAATGATGATGATTTTATATCTAAATAAGTTTATTCATTATCATCATCAGCTCACTATACGTCCTCAATCGTGCTCGGAACTGAAGCTAAGTTGACCATAGTCAAGCACACCAGCCCAAAGGTTGTCTTTGAAATTCTTTACAAATATTTTCCTTTACCGTGATATCGTCGTGTGTTCATATGTAAATAATATGAAATTTTTTAAATGTTGAACCTAGGAATTGTTTAGTTTTATGTAAAAGCGTGAGTTGTGCCGTTTTTAATTACTTTTCGCTTAGTTTTATGTACTTCAATACAGATGCTCTCTTCTTTAATTAATAAAGTTAATTCTACGCCGTTGAAATTATTACTTCCTTCATGTTTGACCACCTCGGTGTTCAAGCCGCTCGTTTGCCCCCTTTTATTATAAAAAAAATGTTGTAAAATTAAAAACATAAATGTCATGTCTATATTTTATTCTACATTTCGTATCATAAGTTTATGTTTTGAATGTAAGCTGAGCTGTTCACCAGGATATATAGTATATTCGTAAATACTTGAATATTCAGGGTCGTTGCCGTAATAATATCTATGGTCATTTTTCCAAAAACCCAATTCCAAAAACGTCAAAACTCGTCGACGAATGCGGAAGACATAATACATTTCCTGCTCAAAACTGTACAGCCTTCGAAATTTTGATTGCTAATTAATTAATATGCCTCGACACACCATCGGCTTTGAAATACCAATTTCGATACGTTACATACATAATATGAACATTTAGGCAGATGACCTCCTGCTTCCTACGTATTGCCACCATAAATGCCACCTCATGGCACTCGCTTTAGATATTTCTTATCTAGATGAAAACTAACATAAAAGATTAGACGCTATATGTCCCCTTTGGAATCATTGTTATTGAGACACTATTTAACGTAGGCTTGCGAAATGCCTCTTAACCTTTAAATAATAAACTACTTACTTATACTAGGTTATGGTGAAACGTAATGCTTTGACGTCCATAATATTAATCAGCGGCGGTTAAAGAGAAACATGTGTTCAACTAAACATTGTCTAAATACATATTTAGGATATTTCAGTTTAAAAGTAAACTAAATACAATGGCCGTTGTTTAGCTAGATTGTAACTCGATACGGCATCAAAAGGTCTGCATCGTTGTCCTTTTTAGATGCCCTATATAATATTTTATAAATAAAGTAATGAAATATTAATATAAATGTTCGAGAGCAGGCGATCGTTATTGTACAATTGTTGTTAAGTTATTCAGCTTTGAACTCGTTCTAGTTGAGACAGGACAATGTCGTGGACAATGCACTTGCACATAAAGTCAGGACTAAGCACTAGCCAATACTTGATTATAATCAATATTGACAGATAATATAGATAACTAGCTTTCGCCCGCGACTCCATTCGCATAGAATAAAAAAAAACAAAAGTGAGTAGCCTATGTGTTTTTCCAGACTATCCTCTACATCTATACCTCTTTATAATATTTACGAAAGAATGAGCAGATCAAGAAATGGGGATTATTTGACGATATAAAAAAAAAACTAGAAAAAGAATAATAACTATTTTAATTAATTTCCATATAAATAAGTAATTGAAAGAACATGTTATCCGTCGTACTTCGTATATTTTCCACTGGTATTAGGATTTAAAATTACCATCAAAGTACAAACAATAATTTGTAACTAATGTTTTTGAACGTATAAAGTTACAGTGCACAGCTCCATTACACTGTGTGTTTGATCAAGTCACAATAAGTTGGTAATTAATTGACCTAAATGTGTCAGCGAGACGTGTCTTTGTGTCGGCGTGTCGGTCGGTAAGTACTTAATATGTGAAACCACAATTTACATGTGAATGTAAAATATTTCTAAGTTTATATTAGTTTAAGCAGACAGTAACGCGGCGCATTTCCTCTTCCCGCCTCTTGCGGACATACGCCGGTGTAGCTATGT